GTAGGGTTCAAATTTTGTTTTCATTTCTGCTCTTCTTCCGAGAAAAAGTAGATTTCCCGCATTGTCCAGATTCCGAAGGATTCATTGAGTTTTCTCGGGAAAATTTGTTGAAACAGAGTCTAGCTCTCTTTGCTAGTGATGATGTCGAACTTGGTGGACCCATCGTGGTGCCTTCTGGCGGTGAGCGGCGGAGATACGATTAAGCTTTTCGACGTTTCCGCCGATTCCGGCGATCCCTGCGTTCTGAGTTATACTCCGACGCCGGGTTGTGCTGTAAACTCCGTCAAGTGGAATCATACGAGTATGTCACTCTCCAATTACTCGCATTTGTTTGGTGTTCTCATGATTTTTGCTCGGTTGGTGAGAGATTAGGAAAGTAGCTCAAGTAGTGATTCACCATTTTTCCAGTCTTGATCTTAGGTTATGTAATGGTTTAATCGAGTTTTAGTGGAACGAATCTTGGATAAACTGTAATCTGCTGTTCAAATTGAGTTTAGTGATGAATTGGTGTGCACTTTTAGGGATCCGATTTGGGAATGTTACTAGTTTGGAAGAAATCAACAGGTTGTTTATTTGAAGTTCTGATACTAATTGATTCAATCTAGTGGACGGGTTAATGTTTTTTAGTGGAAGGAGAGTATTTGTTATTGTTCTGTCTTGAAGTTAATGTTCTTTTGGATGTAGATTTGGTTGTGGCGAGTACAGGAGAAGATAAGAAGATATCCCTGTGGCGGAAAAATGGGCATAGCTTAGGAACAGTTCCGGTCACTGGGAAGGACGGTGGAGAGAATGCCGAGGTTAAGTCCTTTCTGATCAGTGTTTCAGATTTCCATGTCTTTCTCCTGCGTCTCTTATTTGCTAGCTACAACAGTCATAGCCTTTTCCTCTTAGCAATAAATGCATCTTAGATAAATGGAGGTAGAAGGAGTCAAGGAGATCTTTATAGATTCTTTTCGAAAATGTGAACCGTTGTATCCTTGTGACAGCCTGAATTTTCCTTTCTAGAATTCAAAAGGTTCAGTGGACCTTGATCTAGAAAGCCTGAATTTTATCTACGATAACTGCCAAATTCATTGTGTATGATTTTTTTTTATGTATATTTGCTTGTGTCATTGAATTCAGGAATGCTTATCGGCTATTAGCTTCAGCAAAAAAGGATCCAGGTACATATGTTCTGGAGGAACAGGTCAAATTGTGAAGATATGGGATCTGCAAAGAAAGCTTTGTATTAAGAAGTTGAGGGGTCATACAAGTACAATAACGGGTGTGATGTACAATTGCAAAGATGAACATTTGGCTTCTGTCAGTGTTGGTGGGGATCTGATAGTCCACAATCTTGCATCTGGAGCAAGGGCTACTGAACTCAAAGATCCAAATGGGCAGGTTATTCACTTTGTACATGTATGCTTCCATTTATAGCTCAGAGCCTTGGTCGTCAAACTAATTGGCTTTTTAATCGATTCAAGACCAGGTATTGAGGGTGCTTGATTATTCAAGGTCCAGTCGACACCTTCTACTTACTGCAGGTGATGATGGTACTGTGCATATGTGGGATACAACTGGTCGTAACCCAAAGGTATAATTTTAACTTATTGCGATCATGTGGAAAAGGATGTGTATCTTCCATTGTCTCTTCTGTTAATGTTTAGAAGATTTCATAAACTACTATTTTGATGGGTGCATTGTGTTTGTACTTACCATTTAATTTCTGGTATCTGTGATGATTTGCTTTCATTTCTACAGATTTCCTGGCTGAAGCAGCATTCTGCACCAACTGCTGGTGTTTGCTTCTCTCCATCAAACGAAAAGGTATCTGGATCCTTATAAATGATTCTTGCTACACATAACTCAAATCAGTCAGATTAATGTGATTGCAATCCTGACCGGTTTCATGTACATGTGCACCCTCAACTTTTACTTGTTTTGATAAAATGTGAATTTGCACACTCAACTTTGATAAGCCTGTCTAATGTTCTTTGAGATGGAGTTTCTAAACATAGTATCTAAGTAATCTACAACCTAGATTATCTACTGTTAACAGATAATTGTTAGTGTGGGGATGGACAAAAAGCTTTACACTTATGACTCTGGATCCAGAAGATCTTCGTCCTGCATTTCTTATGAGGCACCTTTCTCATCTTTGGCCTTTGGGGATAATGGTTACATTCTGGCAGCTGGAACCAGTAATGGTAAAGTAGTGTTTTACGACGTTCGTGGAAAACCGCAGCCTGTTACCGTCCTGCATGCTTACAGTAGTTCAGAGGTCAATACATTTCTAACTCAGTGCAATCTCTTTAGCCTGTCCTATCTATTGACTCTGATTCCATGGATTGACCATTTTGGACTGATCACTATTAGTTGTTTATCTTTACTTTGGATTGCAAAAGATAACTAAATCTTTGCTTTATTAATCAGGCGGTAACAAGTTTATCATGGCAAACATCAAAACCAGTTATTGTGAATGAGAAAAACTACACTTCTGAGATGGCTCTTTTTGGTGGTACTGTGGAAGATTCAGTTATGATTCCGGATCCCCTTCCATCAACGACATCCTCAGCTCCACAAGCTGCTTTGGTGCCAGGTTCTCGTGGAGTTTCCGCGAGTACTGTGAATGTATCATTAGCAGAACAAACACCAAATAGAAACCATCTATGGCCTGGTGGGCCACTGGGTAGACTACATGCACTTCGTTCCAGTGACAGTTTCAATGATGATATGAATGTGTTTTCCCCTATTGTTGATGTATCATCTGTTGAGAAATGGGCTGATAGTGAAGGATTCAATAATAAGGATCATTTAGTCATTGACAAAAAGCCTTCCACTTTACTATTTCCTTCATCGAGCAAGGGATTTCCATACGGAGATGATGGAAACAAGGAACATATATTTGACTGGAAATCAAGCTCTACTTCGAAACAGGTTTGTGTTTCTTCATCAAGCAAATGCTATTATTATTTTTCCTATCATTTTTCATAACTTCATTGTGTCTTCAAACTCTCTGCTTATTTGTGGTTGTACATAATACACTGGCTGGACTAAAGATAACTTTGCTCTCTAATATATTATTCTCTTTCATATGTTTCAATTATTTACGCAGGATGACATGAGGGATGCTTTTTCGCCATTTGGAACTACTACACCAACAGCATCATCCAAAAGTGAAGACTCCGCCTTGACACCTCCAGAAGCATGGGGTGGTGATAAATTATCTGAGAAGTTTAACCAATTGGTCAATGAGAAATTTAGCCACCTGCATCCACCTTCACGGCTAGGAGTTTGTAGCACAAATGCTAGTACATCTGGATCAATGTTCTCTAGCTCACAAGATTTCCCCTCGTCGTTTGGTCAGACAAACCTCGCAAAAGCTAGCTTGGAATTCCCACGGATGAGAGACTTCTCCTCAAACTTTGAGACATCCTCAACACTGACAGACAACAACTTACCTTCAAGCCCATTGTTAACAAAAGGCATCGCAGCTTCGGGTAACATTGATGCATTGAAGCTATCACCAAGTTTTACTCGTAGGTTCTCAACATACGCTGAGAGAATCAGCACCACTTCTTCATTTAGTGACGGGACCTCTCTCTCTCTGGGTTCTTCACCCAAGATAAAGAAAACAGGAGCAGAAACGAGAGAGGACGTTTTCAATAATCTGTTGTCAAGACCTGAGATAGTGGCTGCAACAGAAGCAGGGGGTCCTCAGGTTATGAATGTATGTTAAAAAGTTTCACAAAAACCATTTGTTATTAATATGAGAATATCTCGTTCGGATATCTTCTGTAACTTGTGCAAATCTATAGCAGGGAGGAAACATGGTAATGCCGAAGCAATCTCAAACGGATCAACAGCAAATGGTGGGTAGTAGCAATTTCACGCTTCAGCTATTTCAAAGAACACTTGAAGGAACGCTGGATTCTTTCCAAAACTCCATTCACGACGACATGAGGAACCTGCACATTGAGATCCTCAGACAGTTCCACATGCACGAGGTAGTGTTTGCCCTTGCTCTAATACCATCTATGTCTTCTTCAAATGACTTAAAACTATTGTTCTCAATACAGATGGAGATGTCGAAAGTGCTAAGCTCTATTCTGGAGAACCAAGCAGAGCAAATGAAGGAGTTGAAATCGTTGCGGAAAGAGAACCAAGAGCTCCGGCAAAGGCTTTAGAGGAGACCGTTATATGAGTCTTTTACCTGTGAGGTTTTGCGTGTTCAATTGGTGTGTGTGCGTATTTCATTCCCTCTGGTACTCCTTGTTCCTCTTCTTTTTGCCATGGAATCGA